AGATACTGGGATCAGCAGTGACATAAGCAAGTTTGCCGATGACACCAAAATAGGGCGGCAGATTAATTCAGAACGGAAAGCAAATGCATTACAGGAGGATCTAAATAAACTGCAGGGGTGGTCTGAAAAATGGCAAATGAAATTCAACACCAGCAAGTGCAGCGTACTTAATATTGGCAGAACAAATACTGACAATGTATACAGACTTAACAACATCAACCTAGAGAAGTCGACTTGTGAAAGAGACCTAGGGGTACTTGTAAGTTAATGTTCGAAATAAGGCAAACAGAGTATTGGGTTTTATATCTAGAAGTGTAAGTAATAAGATTGCAGAGGTCTTAATGCAACTATATCTTGCGCTAGTCAGGCCGCACCTCGATTATGCGGTTCAGTTCTGGTGCCCTTATTATAGAATAGATATCAATTCACTAGAGTCGGTGCAGCGAAGAATGACGAAAATGATTCCGGGACTTAGAAACCTTCCATATCAGGATAGGTTAAAGAAACTTAACTTGCATTCCCTAGAAAGACAAAGAGTGCGGGGAGATATGATAGAAGTATTTAAGTGGGTGAAAGGAATCAATAAAGGGGATATAGATAAAGTTCTTATAATATCCGAGCAGGATAGGACTCTGAGCAACGGATTCAAGTTGGATAAGTTTAGGTTTAGGAGGGAGATAGGAAGAAACTGGTTCACAAATAGGGTGGTGGACGAGTGGAACAAGCTTAGCAACTTTGTAGTAAGTGCGGGAACTCTGGAAAGTTTCAAAAGGAGGCTAGATAGATTCATGGATGATTGAGAGTGGTAGTAACTCTCGACAGGAGCTGCCATGCACAGGCCAACCGGCCTATTGCAGACTCCTTATTTTCTTATGTTCTTATATTACAAAATCACAGAACATTGCCGTAACATCAAGTAAAGCTTTTCAAGGCCAGGTGTCACAATAGGTCAGGTCAGGTCACAGAGGATTATATCCACTACAAGGGCGCCTCTCCACAGGTGTTGACAGGTCTTAAGTCTCAGAAGTTCGTAAGGTAAATATTTTTTCGTTACTTTTCGTGTTCGATGATAAGTAACAGACTGACTTAAGGTGATCAATAATAATTATGTTTAGAATTATACAAATTTACACTGAGACGACTTTAACTGTATAATGTTTGGTATCATAAATTTGGCAACATGTGTAAAGGGGGGGGGGGCGGAGGTGGGGATAAGCAACCTGATTGATGGAATGAGGAGAGGTCAGGTTAGGTCGGGCTATCATATATAATACCAGTAGCTGAAGGAAGTTAACAGAGTATACAGCTATCAGTGGTGGACTAAAGAAAGCTAAGGTGTAGCTCTTAGACTTCAACGTTATGATAGAGGTGAGTTATATACCTGTACTTTATTTTATTCTTATATCACTTATAAGTCTTTGTAACGTGACTGTATCGATATTACTGTAAGTTAAAGTGGTAGTGGTCGTCTTGGTTAATAATATCATAGCAGGCTAGGACTCGTAGCACCGGATTTAAGTTGGATAAGTTTAGGTTTAGGAGGGAGATAGGAAGAAACTGGTTCACAAATAGGGTGGTGGACGAGTGGAACAAGCTTAGCAACTTTGTAGTAAGTGCTGGAACGCTGGAAAGTTTCAAACTCCTTATTTTCTTATGTAAATATTAACATTACAGTATGACGTAATATTAGAACATAAAGCCAGATTACGCAGCTTCTCTTTACAGCCAACCGCTGTCATTCATGTCTCTTCCTCTCCCCAGCGTGACTGTTTATGTCAACTTGCTCTAATCATCTACAACTATATTTTATAATCAGTGTTTAGTTATTTCCTTCATTATTCTTACAGGTCCTCGAAGTACAGTTTATTATTATAGAACAACACAAGAATGGAGGAAACTGCAGCGGGTCTATTGGCCCATACTGGGCAGTCCCGTTTACACCCAACCCCTATCGCTCATAAAAGCATCCAACCTATGTTTAAAGCTATCCAGCGTGTTCGAGTTAATAATGATATTTGGTAACTTGTTCCACTCGTCCACTACTCTATTTCCAAACCAATGTTTACCTATTTCGCGCCTAAATCTAGAAGATGGAGGTGCGGTCGTTGGATGATTGTGTATATTAATATTTCCTTATTATCCCTTCCAGATGAGGTCCAGTTGTCTCAACTGTACGATGTGTAGCCAGAGGTTTGATAACAAGGAGCGGGTACCTCGCCAGCTGAGTTGCGCCCACACCTTCTGCACCCACTGCCTTACCCACTCCATCTCTTGCAGCCCACACCTCATGTGTACCATCTGTGAAACCAAACACACTCCCACCGTCAACTGCGCCATTGAAATTCCCATCAACTTTGAGATGGTTGATGCCGTGGAAGAAAGAGTGTCAACTCCGGACCCTGAGAGACTCCCACCACCAGCCAGGCGGAATCACCATCCTCCACGGAGAACACTGAGGCGAGGCCTACCTATGGCTGTGAACAGCCCCCTCGTTAATTACAGACGATTCCAACACCTTGGTCTGACTCCGACGCCAACCACAGCTGTATCCGAGGCTTATCATAGTAGTCTGCATTGTATGAGGCATAATTTATCGACTACAAGCGGTGCTCCTCTTTATTGCCGCGCGTGTTCCACCGTACAACAAGACAATCCTTGTTCAGTCAGTCGGCGCAGACGCATTACCCCAACACCTGTTGACCGACCTCGACGACGCTGCCAACTCTGTCCTGAAAGTCTTCGCGCACCTGAACGAGTTACCCTCCAGCATCCTTCTCGCCGGGCCTCACAAGCACTCCACCACATCCGTCTTCAGGTGATCCCTCAGTCCGCTCCTACAGTATAATCCTGTACTAGGGGAACAAGGTTCCTATCAAGAATATCACACCTGTATGCATGACTCTACAGTGTTGGTGTAAACGGCTGATGTTGTTCGTGTTTTGTTTCACCGCTACGGACTGTATGTGTGTCTGAGTTTTCACCACGGCTCCAGTTTGAGCGATATGAGACAGACAACTCTTTATTTTATCTTTACTGAACATTTATTGAAATGTGACATTTTCTGAATAAACCTTTAAAAAAACTGATTATGATGTATTTCTTAAACAGTTTATTGATCTTCTAACCTATAAACTTGAACCATCATTGAGGGTTTAATAGTCTATAATACAGTAAATCTATCTGAAATATTTGGGTTTACAGTTTCGGATACGAGCGTGGTGACCAATGGCCAAACAGATAAACAATAGTTACAACACAACACAACATTCCAATCCTTCATTAACTAACTCTTACGACAGTCGCCATCTATTGGTTAAAAAAAAGGTGGTGAGGACTGCGAAGAGTCGCCAAACTGGGCTGTCTTAATGCTTCGACTCATTCATCAGAGGTTTGGTGTTGGTATAACTACCTGAAAACAGATTGTGGACAGTGTGGTTGCCGGCTGTGGGTCTCACCTCCTCCTCCATAGTGATGAGTACATTATTATTTGCATTGTCAACTGTCTTGTTCCTGCTCCGGTAAGGTTAATTACTGTATATTGTAATTTATTTAATTATAGGTTTAACATTGCGGTTCAGTTCTGGTGCCCCTATTATAGAATGGATATAAATTCACTAGAGTCGGTGCAGCGAAGAATGACAAAAATGATTCAGGGACTTAGAAACCTTCCATATCAGGATAGGTTAAAGAAACTTAACTTGCATTCCCTAGAAAGACGAAGAGTGCGGGGAGATATGATAGAAGTATTTAAGTGGGTGAAAGGAATCAATAAAGGGGATATAGATAAAGTTCTTATAATATCCGGGCAGGATAGGACTCGGAGCAACGGATTCAAGTTGGATAAGTTTAGGTTTAGGAGGGAGATAGGAAGAAACTGGTTCACAAATAGGGTGGTGGACGAGTGGAACAAGCTTAGCAACTTTGTAGTAAGTGCGGGAACTCTGGAAAGTTTCAAAAGGAGGCTAGATAGATTCATGGATGATAGAGAGTGGTAGTAACTCTCGACAGGAGCTGCCATGCACAGGCCAACCGGCCTATTGCAGACTCCTTATTTTCTTATGTTCTTATGTTTTGTCAATGGCTAAATTCTCAAGCTAAGCAAACTTATTTAGTTATTATTTCATTGTTTTTTCTGATATGCATTGCAAATATTTTATATTAATTATATTAATTTATTTTTCTTGTTGGTTTTGCTTCATTTATATTTGAGGTTAACCAGTCATATAAAACGTTCCATGGTAAACAGTTATATTAGTCGAGTACCCAACACAAGGAAGAGTTAACCTAACACCACGCGCACACACACACACACATACGCTCTGCATTTCAATCTCGAATAATCACCAATTAATGTAAACACGACCAATTACATTAAGCTTAATTATCTCTCATATCAGCAACCGTTTACGACACTGTTCATTACTCGGACCCAGATCAAGTTCGGGTAATTACCTGCTAAATGTATTATCAATGTGGAAGAAAAATTATTAACTTGTTTCTTAACGACCTTGATGATACCAGCTGGGTTATTTCCTGTTGGTGATTATCTTGGGTAGCTGAATATCTCTCTCTCTCTCTCTCTCTCTCTCTCTCTCTCTCTCTCTCTCTCTCTCATTCGTCTTATCCAGTCAATAGCTCATAAAACCACGATATCAACTCTCTTTATCTCAAGCACACAAGACATTTGAACCCGAAGCCCAAGGGGGTGACATCTTCAGGTTCCCGACAGTCTCTCATTTCCGATTTACTGGCCGATTACACTCACTAAATCCACTGGACGATTTTTATTTTCCTGTTGAGAAATCGGTATTTTTTCGGCCGATTATCGCTGTCTCTGGTTAGTCTTTCATGAGAACCTAACCTAACCTTTACCAAAACATTTTTTTAATCTTAGTTGGGATATCAGTGCGATAACACCACGATAACAGACCAGGATTATGATGTAGGTAAGGCAATAAATCCCGGCACAGGTGTGTGTTTGGTTCAGTACACCTTGTGAGCTCTGAAGTGATACCTGACAGCTGGGCAACAAGTGAGAAAGCTAATTTACAGTATCTCGAAAGTGTGTGTGTGTGTGTGTGTGTGTGTGTGTGTCTTTAATAAATTGATAGATGTGGTTTGGAATCTTGTGTATTTGTCATTATAGGGTATTGATTGCGTTATATTTGTCATTATAGGGTATTGATTGTGTTATATTTGTCATTATAGGGTATTGTTTGTGTTATATTTGTCATTATAGGGTATTGATTGCGTTATATTTGTCATTATAGGGTATTGTTTGTGTTATATTTGTCATTATAGGGTATTGTTTGTGTTATATTTGTCATTATAGGGTATTGTTTGTGTTATATTTGTCATTATAGGGTATTGTTTGTGTTATATTTGTCATTATAGGGTATTGTTTGTGTTATATTTGTCATTATAGGGTATTGTTTGTGTTATATTTGTCAATCTATACTCCTGTGTTTACATGTACGATACGAGTAATAATAATAAGACCAGCAAATTGGGATGATCTCTAAAGTCGTTTTGGGAAAAATATAGTTAATGTGGTTTGAATTTGTTAAGCAGAAGTCCAAGTAATTGCAATAAGGTGACTATGTTCCGCTCGCTTATATGGAAACTCGCGCCAGTGTGTGTTCTCTCCTCCATGGGAGTACACTTGTCTACGGAGTACACTTGTCTCGTGAGGGGGTAAAGACGTTGTCTGCATCCCTGGAGCGTGAAATTGTCACTCCGAAGGGGGGGTTTCGCCAGTAGAGAGAGGTCGGGGAAAGTGGGAGTCAAAAAACAAGCAGGTCCTGGGAAGTAAAATTAGTTGCTCAGGACAAGGGGTAAAACAGGACCAGGGAAGGGTAGGTTTAAATGTATACTATACAAACAGTAGGAGCGTTAGAAATAAAATAGACTTGCTGAGAGCGGTTGTATGTACCGAGAATGTAGACGTCATAGCAATCACCGAAACTTGGATGAATCTGGCGAGCAAAAATTTTTTATCAGAGTACCACATAGAAGGGTACAACCTTTTTCACAAGGACAGGGAAGGTAGGAAGGGGGGAGGGGTCGCACTCTTCGTCAAGGATACATTAAAATGTTGTATTAATAATTCAATAAAGGGTGAAATAGGAACCGAGTCTGTGTGGGTAGAAATCACGGAAGGAAGAGAAAAACTAATTATGGGAGTGATTTACAGGCCCCCAAGTCTTGGCAAAGAAGCAGCTCAGCCCATATGGCAGGAAATGAGTAGGGCAGCAAAATATAACAACCTATGCATTATGGGGGATTTCAAATTCAGAAATATTGACTGGGACAACATTGTAGGCGACTATGAATCTGAAGACTTCCTAGACGCAGTACAGGACAATTTTTTGAAACAACTAATTACAGACCCTACTAGAGGTGCCAATATATTAGACCTAGTATTAACAAATAAAGAAAATATTATCAGAGATATCACAGTAGGAGAAGAACTAGGTAACAGTGATCACAGAGAAATCAGGTTCACCCTAAATTGGGAAACGAAAAACAATGACAATATGGTCAGAGTCCCAAACTTTCGGAGCTGCCATGCACAGACCAACCGGCCTATTGCAGACTCCTTATTTTCTTATGTTCAACGTGTGTTCTCTCCTTCATGAGTGACGTAATCCAATAGTGTGAGCAAGCCTCAAACTTTGCACACGATTTCAAGTCATTCCCGAAACACATAGTTTATTTATTCATTTACGTAATATTTCAAAAAGTTCAGAGACAATAAGTTACGTGAATTATACAGAACTTGACACTTTGACGTGATAATTCCCGAACGATGATAAAAGATGTAGATAATGGTGATAATATAATGATGTGTCTGTTACCTCACCTTATTGCTACCTGGATTACCCGATTAGATAAACAAAGACCTGAATGTCACCACATAACTTAATGAAGAATCTGGCCTCTTTATGAGCTTACCTCTTGTGTTCTTAAGTAGTTCACTTTTATTAATTTATTTTTTATTTATTTTTATCTTGTGTTTTAGGGGATTTTTGTTTTTATGAATTCAAGTGCGTTTGTGTGTTCAGTTCTGGTGATGTTTATGAAGCCATTGCTTTCTACTATATAATGCGGATCTGTATACGAATCCTCTTACGTTCTTATACGTAATCCGAATCGACATATGAATCCTCTTACGTTCTACACATAATCCGGATCTGCATATGAATCCTCTTGCGTTCTTATACATAATCCGGATCTGCATATGAATCCTCTTGCGTTCTTATACATAATCCGGATCTGCATATGAATCCTCTTGCGTTCTTATACATAATCCGGATCTGTTTACGAATCATTTTGTGTTCTGGTGTAAGGATGATTTCACGTGCAGCTGAAGACAATGATATGAGGGAAGTTTACGTCGCGTTTAACTGACGGTTTTGTGTTTCAGGAGAGGAAGCTGGAGTGATGGGCGGTCAGGTGTCTTCACCCAGGGTCAAGGAACACGGTGAGGCATGATGTCTTGTGTAATGTTCAGTGCTGGAAAAATGATGATGATGTTGTGATATTGATGATAGCATTGGTGATGATGATGATAATGATTTAGTCGTATACTTAGCACCACTTTGTTTTATTAAGTCTAGTTATTTTCCTCCACAGAAGCACAGCCGCTCACCCCACGGATTGTTGAGTGAGTAACACTATATTCGAGTAGAGTGTGTGTGTGCTTAGAGGGGTTTTACATAATATAAGTCTTTGTTCAACGTCATAAGACTCGGATAAATTAGTCATATGAAAATTCTTAAAAACCGTAAAGCTTTATCATCAGTATAATGGCTTAACTTAAACGCACATGAAAAAAAAATCACCTACCAAATTTCACCGTTTAACCTTCCACACTGTAGACGTGCATAACGAACATACACACAACCCGACTTTAATTATTTCTCCTTTACAGCTCAAGTCACGTGTCAAGGACAAGGTCGTGTATGGTCAGCATCCTCAGCGAGAACCTCCGGGTGCAGAGTGACCTGACCCTCTCCCTCCACCAGGTCAGTAAAGGTCAAAGGTGAAGCAGAACAGATTATTTTAACTTTTCCTAGTGTACCCCTACGTTACCTGGGGCTACGGTACACTCGATATGGTACAGCTGGTGATGATCATGTCTCCATCTCCTACAGCTGGCTGAGTTAGGCAACACAGAGGCGCTAGAGTACAAACTTCAGAACGGCGAGGACGTAAACCAGCTGGACGGGAACCAGCTGGCGCCCCTGCATTACGCCGCCCACTACAACCACCTGCCCGTCGCCAGCCTCCTTCTGCAACACAACGCCGAGGTCAACGTCTGCGGCCAAGACAACCGTACGCCTCTCCACTATGCTGCCAGGTCAGTCGGAGAACACCCACTTGGTCGACAGCTTTGATGAACACTTCTATCATAACATTAATTTATGACTATCAAACATAACACATCCTTTCATCAAAAATACACATTGATTAGATTGACTGATTGATTGATTGAAGCAGTTTATTTAGTCAGATAAAGAGAGATCAAAGTGAAAAATAATAACAAAATTAACACGTTTAGCCGAGTAAGAGGTGGGGCGTGGCTGCAGCTCCTGATAATACACATCACCCTCGGAAGACTGTCCCAGGGTTATACTACTCTCCCACGTGATATATCCTGGTATATCCCTGTTACCTTATGAGGTATGCTGTATCACCCACCTTCCTTAGGTATAACAATTTGAGGTGTTCTCCTGCAGATGTCGGACCAAGCTACAAAATGCCACCTCTGGGACCCAATTGGTGGTAGTTGAGGCTCCTCCGGATGTTGGTTAGTGTGCAGTGTTGTGACATGTCCGTCTGTTCGCCATTCCATCCGTATATACAGTCACCCACAAAAGTCCTGTCGCCTCGTAAACTCGAACCAGTAGACATTGATGCATTATTCCGTGTCCATAAATACTTCGGATTCACGAGTCTAAATCTCGGGGTTTGTGGTGCAGGAGGAGAGGCGAACGGACTTTTGAGAGTGACTGTTCACTTACACACAAAACTCCTTCCATGTGTTTGATAATATCTGTTATCCGCTTAAGGGTTATATAGGCAAGAGACATTTTTGCCACTGAAAAAATCTATTTATCACTAACGAAATATATTAACTGATCTATCAATGACTTCACCTAACCCAATAAACAGCGAAGGGTGTGATGAAGGGCGAAGGTGAGGGTGACTCCATGGTGGTCCTCTTACACAACAATCACGCCATAGTCAACGCTCAGGACAAGTACGGTCAGACGCCCTTGCACTTCGCTGCAATGACAGGGAACATCGCCGCTGCCACTGAGCTGGTCGAGTACTGCAACGCTGATGTGGAGGTAAAAGAGAGAGAGAGAGAGAGTGAGTGAGTCATGGTAAGGGAGATACCATAATTTACAAGGTTATCCGTCTAAACTGACAGAGAAAATGTAAAATAAGAAAACTAAGAAGCTCCACCATTACCACGGTAACTATACAATAATAAAGACCCCACTGAAAATAAGTATCTGACTGCTTTGTTGGTTATCCTTGGTCGAATTGCCTCACTGCTTTCTGTTTTTGTATACATGCACTTTCTAGGCACATTTTAAATTGTATACATGTAAGGTCCTATATACATGCTGAACTGTTTACCTGCACTGCCTATGTATAAAAGCTGAGCCAATTGTAAACTAGTATGACGGTTTTATTAAGCAAATATTCCTACCTATCTATATACTGTATCTATCTGTATCTATTAGTTTGTATGTCTATTTATTAATATATGTACTCAAATTACTGCTTTAGTCTCCACTTCCTTGCCAAACACACAACAAAGTCTAAGATCGCTTCACCTTCACCTACCCTTCACTTCATAGGTCGAAGACAACCAGCAGACGACCCCACTGATCATGGCTGCTACACAGGGCTACGTGGATATTGCCAGACTCTTATTGGAGAGTGCCAGTGCCAACCTGAGGCAGGCAGACTCCTCTAGACAGACGGCCCTCCACAGAGCTGTCAAAAGCGGCCACTTGGTGAGTAGTTAACGAACGTGTTGTATAGTAAAGAGTTTTAGATGGGGTTTCAGGTGGTGCATTTGATAATGATTTTAGTCACATTAACACAGTGTCTAAATCTTTATATTCAGACTTACTGACAATTAATTATTATTATTATTATTATTATTATTATTATTATTATTATTATTATTATTATTATTATTATTATTATTATTATTATTATTATTATTATTGTTATTATTATTACCTAGAGGATGGTCAACTTGTTACTACATAAGGGCAGGGACATGAAGAATTACATGAGCTTCCTGAACGCCAGAGACACCAAGAGAAAGACAGCTCTGTATCACGCCTGTAGCAATGGTCACGTGCTGGTAGGTGCTGGTGGGGTTATTTTGGGGGTATTGAGGTAATGGAATTTTGGGATGAATTGATGGGATTTTAGGGAATGTCTGTTAATTTTCATATTTACCTGTACCAGATGTTAATTAAAAGTTATTACGTGAGTTATTTACCTGTCTTCTGGATGTTATGAATTATTGCTTAAGTAATACACGCACATACACATACTCTTTGTCTTTAGATGACTCTCTCTCTCCCTCAGTTTCCATTTCTGTCTTTCAGTTTCTCTCTCTCTCTCTCTCTCTCTCTCTCTCTCTCTCTCTCATCTGGTTAGATATTGACGTATATTAAACAGATTTTTTTTTTACCTGACCACCCCACACACCTGTTATAAAGTATGGAGAGTATACAAGTGATTCAGGAGTGTGTCTGTGTCAGGTAGCGGCTGTGTTGCTCGAGGAACAAGCTGACGCAGAAGCAGAGACAGTCACGTTAGCCACGTCCCTCCACGCCGCTGCTAGTGTGGGCAATGTGGACATCATCGGTGTTCTTCTAGAGGTAAGGCCAAGGGCATGATAGTATCCCTGGAGGTGTGGCCAAGGGCATGATAGTATCCCTGGAGGTGTGGCCAAGGGCATGATAGTATCCCTGGAGGTGTGGCCAAGGGCATGATAGTATCCCTGGAGGTGTGGCCAAGGGCATGATAGTATCCCTGGAGGTGTGGCCAAGGGCATGATAGTATCCCTGGAGGTGTGGCCAAGGTCATGATAGTATCCCTGGAGGTGTGGCCAAGAGTATGATAGTATCCCTGGAGGTGTGGCCAAGGATATGATAGTATCCTTGGAGGTGTGGCCAAGGGTATGATAGTATCCCTGGAGGTGTGGCCAAGGGTATGATAGTATCCCTGGAGGTGTGGCCAAGGGTATGATAGTATCCCTGGAGGTGTGGCCAAGGTCATGATAGTATCCCTGGAGGTGTGGCCAAGGGTATGATAGTATCCCTGGAGGTGTGGCCAAGGATATGATAGTATCCCTGGAGGTGTGGCCAAGGGTATGATAGTATCCCTGGAGGCTTGACCAAGGATATGATAGTATCCCTGGAGGTGTGGCCAAGGATATGTACGATTATGGATACAGATTGATATATGAAATTCGTAATAATTCGTTTGTGCGTAAACAACCAAAGCTAGATGATAATCCTACTAATTCGTAACACATTGGTGCTGTTTGTTTTCCTCACGCAGCGCAAGGTTCAGTTGGACGAGCCTGATCTGTACCAGCGGACGCCTCTCATGTACGCAGCTGCTGGTAACAACAACAAAGCCATTCAACTCCTGGCCCAGCGAGGCGCTAATCTGGAACACAAAGATCTGTGAGTTATTTGTCTTGTTGTTTCACTGTAATTAAGTTTAAAGTAAATAGATGTGTGTCAGTCTGACGTAGCTAAAGGCGAGATAGAGAAACCGATTATCAGTTCACTATGGAAATTTAATCCTTGGAAGTTAATTCGTTAAACATGTGAATATAAAATGTTCTATAAATGCTCGTTAGTCTAATAGTCTCACATTGGCGTCTTTTCTCAAGACATTATCTCAAGTGTGACTTACATAAGAACATAAGAAAATAAGGAGTCTGCAATAGGCCGGTTGGCCTGTGCATGGCAGCTCCTGTCGAGAGTTACTACCACTCTCTATCATCCATGAATCTATCCAGCCTCCCTTTGAAACTTTCCAGCGTTCCAGCACTTACTACAAAGTTGCTAAGCTTGTTCCACTCGTCCACCACCCTATTTGTAAACCAGTTCCTTCCTATCTCCCTCCTAAACCTAAACTTATCCAACTTGAATCCGTTGTTCCGAGTCTTATCCTGCTCGGATATTATAAGAACTTTATCTATATCACCTTTATTGATTCCTTTCACCCACTTAAATACTTCTATCATATCTCCCCGTACTCTTCGTCTTTCTAGGGAATGCAAGTTTAGTTTCTTTAATCTATCCTGATATGGAAGGTTTCTAAGTCCCGGTGATACACTTAAGGTTAATGTTTGTGACAGTTGCGATGTTTACCATGAAATTATTTCTCGCCAGGAACCAGTCAACTGCGTTGTTGTTGGCAGCCCACGGTGGTCATGCAGCAGCTGTACAAATGCTGTTGGAACTAGGAGCAGATGTGCAGGCAACGGACAAGTTGAATAAGACAGCTGTGTACATCAGTGCCGAACAAGGCAAGGTGGAGACGGTAAAGGTAGGACTGAAAGAAGAGATAGTTTTTCTTAACGCGTTAATGCCATTTAATAACTAACTGTAGACTATAAAACAAACTACTGAGAAGATGAATTAAACACCTTCCGGTATTTCATATTTTATTTAGTATAGGGTATTTATATATTAGAATCAATGTCGTTTTCTAATAGAGTATAACTGGAGTTTTGTATTTGTTGATGTCTGGTGTATACATATACTGGCCTGATACATATGTTTGAGCATATTAGTTCTCGAAGACCAGGAATGCATTATAACATTAACCTCAAAGGTCAACCAGAGACAAATCTCGTTAATAACATCTAAATGATAAAGACAAAACCGCCTTGACCAACAGGTTCATATTGCCAGTATTGGTTTAGTCTTAGTCTCCCCTCCAATGGTCCTCGTGCTTTATCGTTTAACTCCAGTCATTCCCAATTAATATTAGTATAATTATTGCACTGTTACTGCTACAAATATCATAATTTATATTTATTAAATAACATAAAAAAGTACAATTTAAGGAGGTAAATTATATTTTGATCTCTCGGAAGTTTATACTATAACATAGTTACTTCCAATATTCCCGTTTCCAGCTTTTTAGGGAGTTTGGTAATGGAATTGATAAGGAAGTTGATGTTTTATTTCTCTTCACAGAGAACGCTCTTGAAGAACAATTTTGTTAAGACTTGTCTTATAGTAGATTAATTTTCTCAATAAATATTAGTAATGATGTACATGTGCTACCCTTTTTATTGCGGGGATTAGGCCACCCGGGCACAGGTCATCGACCCACAACTGGGCCTAAAGGGCGAAAAAATAAGAGTAAAAATATTAAAGAAAAAGACTATATTAATATACACCACGAAGGTGCCGGAAAACCAGCTTTTTGAAGTGAGACAGATTGTAAGAGTATGGAAACAGAGAAGATGGCAGAGCATTAACATTCCACAGTTTGGCTGTGTGAGGCTAGAAGGATGTACTTTACTCTGACCATTTTTGATTAATTGTTATTGTCAATAAACTTTTTAGTAATGTTACAAGGCTTAAGGTTTATTCTTCCTGGCAATTATGTACATTACCAACAAATGTATAAGTTAATAGATTTTAATGACACTTTTGAAATATTCTAGTTAACAGGTAACACAGCCTCCCCGAAAGAGCAACACCAAACATTATAAAGTTAAATGAACTTCATTTATTACGTGCGTGAATAATAGATACAAGTACACGTAAAGATAATTAGTTTTACATGTTTATTACTGTATACAACAGTTACAGTGTTTTTCCTCTAAAAACATAAATAACAAGCATGCCTCACGCACACACACACAGCCTCTTTTTTTCCTGTTAATTGTTGACAATGATCCACTATTGGTATTACCTGGACGTTAACATTACCTGAGCCTTCAGGTAGCGTTAAGGTGTTTAGTTATCGACAGAAATAAACTGCGGGACCAACCCTTAGTTCATTCAATTATAATTACTGTAGAGGTTTTATTATCTGTTGATGATTGAGTAGTGTAATTACCAGTCTTGTGTACACGCCAAAAGACCCAGCTGCCGAAGATGTTGATGTTGGGACAAATACACCAGACATTGACAGATAGAAAACTCCAGTTATACTCAATCATGAAGGAACATTAAAGGAGATGTTATTTAGTTTTACAGGGATTACTATAAGTTACTATGTCACTAAAATAATCTTATTGGTGAATTTTTATCTAGTTTTCCTCTTAATCACTATACAGTAACTAGACGAGAAAAACTATAACAAAAGTGAATAACTGGAATAAAATACCATAGTCCCCAGAAATTAAACCATTTCATTTTCTCTCACTGCCAAAGAAAACTTTAAATGGCTAACTGAACTTAGTGTTATGTCTCCTCGTCTCAGGTGTTACTCGAGGTGGAGGAGAGCAAGAAGCTGCTGGATGTTGTGGACTATAACGGTAGCCCTCCCGTCCACATAGCAGTAGCAGCAGGTAATATGGCGGTGGTGGAGCTGCTACTGAAGGCCGGAGCGTCCATACACCTGAAGAACGAGGAGCAAGACACCGTCCTACACCTGGCCGCAAGGAGAGGCTACACCATGTTAGTAGTGGTGGACTGAAGGTGTTGATGTCAGCAGCCAAGAGTGTGTTTGTCAGAGCTTCAGACTCTTTTAAGTGGATTTTTTTTTCACTTAACCTATCGAACTAGTTTAACGTAACTTAACCTGACCTAATTTAGCTAAACCTAACCTTAACAATTCAGCCTCACCAACCTAAACCGTGTGGCCAGGATGGTGATGGAACTGATACCTCACTGCCACAAGCTGATGAACTCCGAGAACGAGGACCTGGACACACCCCTTCACCTGGCGTGTAGAGGAGGCCACGAAGGCGTGATCAAGGTGCTTCTCGAGGTTGGAGCGGACCTGAGCACCACCAATTCGTCCTCCTCGACACCCCTCCACCTGGCCGCTGCTCAAGGTTACACTAAATGCTGTCTTCTCCTCCTCGATTCAGACGCACCAAAGGATCTTCACAATAAGGTAGAAGAGAAGTATAAAGTTGAGACTTGATAGTACTGAACTGACACAAGAAAGTTTGATACGACTTGTCTTATTAATGTTGATATGATAGATAATTATTAATTACTTGTATTGGATCACTGAAGACGCTCTACTCCAGATTATTTCACCTGAAAAGTAGCCACCATAACCCAACCTCACCTAACCTAGACACAGACACACACACACACACACACACTCACATACATAGACTTCTCTCTCTCTCTCTCTCTCTCTCTCTCTCTCTCTCTCTTACTGAACAATTTCCTCTCCACAGGACCATAAGACGCCCCTAATGGAGGCAGTAGTAGCGGGTCACGTAGGAGTTACCAGGTTACTCCTAGAACGGGGCGCCTCCCTCGCCGCTCAGGACAATGCCAACAGAAACTCCTTACAACTGGCTATACTCGCGGGGCAGAGGCAAGTCGGTCGCTCATGGGGCAGACTCGTGTGTGTGTGTGTGTGTGTATTGATGGCACAGTTAACATTAGTTTAAGAAAGTCACGTTAAGTTGATCTACTGTGTAAGAACAACATCATGCAGATAAATAAACCTTCTTATTTTTCCGTAAGTGAATCGGTGAGTCAGTCAGTAATCGAGACTCATAGTGCTGACGGCGCAACTAATTGAGGTCAGGATGACATTAAGAGGTTAAGATTATTAAGGTCAAGGGAGGTCATACAACATTAAGGTCCCACTTATACGTGCTTTAATTCCCCTTCCTCCGCCTCACCTGGTCCAGAGACACGGCCACGGCCATCATTCAGTCGGCCATGTGGGAGACGGCCCTAAGGCACGTCTCTCAGGACCTCCACGGCCGCCGCCTCACCCCTTTCAGGATGTTGATCGAGAGACTGCCTGGGGTCGCAGAAGTAGTGCTCCACAGGTGAGTGTTTATTTGTTTAGTTCTTCCTTCGTTGTTGTTTTTGTTGGTGTTGTTGTTGTTTTTGTTGGTGTTGTTGTTGTTTTTGTTGGTGTTGTTGTTGTTGATGTTGGTGTTGTTTTTGGTGATGGTGGTGGCGTTGTTGATGATGGTGATGGTGGTGTTGTTGGTGTTTTTGTTATTGTTGGTGGTGGTGCTGTTAGTGGTGGTGGTGTTGCTGTTGTTGTTGTTGTTGTTGTTGGTGGTGCTGTTAGTGGTGGTGGTGTTGCTGTTGTTGGTGTTGTTGTTGTTGTTGTTGTTGGTGGTGCTGTTAGTGGTGGTGTTGGTGGTGATGTTTTGTTTTCGTTGTTGGGTTGTTTAGTGGGTTTGTTTATGTCTGTGTTTTCCAATTATTAGCGAGGGAAACAAAATGGAACTATGAAACTTTCTCACTTTGAAAATTGAACGAATTTATTTATTTTTTCATCATCTTAAGTACATCTCTTTAACCTCTTTAATATCCTTGAACGTAACTTAAGTCTTCTAAAATCTTTGTCTAAAATAAACTTTCAATCATATTAAGTTGTAAAAAAAAGTCTGACCCATCAAGTTTTGTTTTTGTATAACATTTCTCATAAGTCTTAAACGCAAAACTTTTTTATTTCACCAATTAAAAAAACAACAATAACGAGAAAGACATCAACAGTTAAGTCTTTACCTTTGACAACAACAGATGCATCAAAAAGATCAACAGAATGACCACTAACGACAACAACGACGACATTCAAGACCGGGTAATGAACTTTGAATACCTGGATGATACGTACCAAGTAAGGGCGGGAGGAAGCCAGTTTGACCAGGTAGGGAGACTCAAGCCACGAGCCTCTCCCTACACCAAGCACGCCAGAGTCCTCAAACACAACCATCCTCTCATGTTGATGGTGCAGTACAGACAGTCATCACTCCTGGCTCACCCCGTCTGTGTTAACTTGATCAAACACAAGTGGGTTAGTTACGGCAGGTAAGGAACACTGTTTAATGTATCGTTTTGGCAATAATTCTGAATCACGTGAAGATTAGTATAGTCCCCCCGATCCCACCTCCACCCCTCCTCCTGTCCCCTCTCTCCCTAGTTTATTTCTCCTGATGACTAAATACTTGAACACTTTACTTATATATATCATATAAAATTAGACTTTAGTAATATCAAATCATATAAAATACGTTCCATTGATATACTTCAACAAAATACTTCGAGGAGAATCAACGAAAACTTCACAGGTATGACAACGAAACAGTCATTTGCATTCTTAATTACTCTGGTTCTGTATTATGCAAATGATTCTATCTATAAAGGCTTCAGGTGTATATGAAAGCCTTTAGTTGTCGTGAGGCACTTTAGCTGGTGTGAGAGTTTTAAGCTGAAGATGTACGAGAGACCTCAGGTGAACAGAGAACTTAATGAGAAACACCTGACAGGTTTGTGTACTACGGGAATCTTGGCCTCTATCTGGTGTTCCTTCTCTCCTTCACCGCCTACGTCCTTGCCGTCAGGTGAGTCATACACCCCTTAACAACACGCAACGTTTCTTTTGTATTCCGGGTTTTTGTGTATATTCATAAAGAAAGTTTTTCCTTAAATTACACCATGATAATACATTTTACTTCTAATAAACTATATAGAGATGAAAATCCATTATATCGAGAATCCGTTAGATGTGAACCTCCCTCCCCCCTTCTAACGGAGTATATGGGAAAAGAAGTCCGTTATAAGGAAGATGTTTATCATTATCAGCTGTTTTGACGTCTAGTAAGTAATGTTATACAAGAGAGTTCACCTGCTCCACCTTACAGAGAACTCAACTGGGTAGGTGTGAACGTGACGAGAGCAGGAGAGGATGAGGTGCGGGATGCTGTACACTGTGAGGTATGGCTCATAAGTCCGATATATTGAAGTAAGTCCGATATTGTGAGGGTAAGTCCCGTATATTCGCTATTTAATCCAAAAATTTTCCATATACAGTCTGGAGTCCTCGTTATTAGAAACCAAAATGTATAAATACATATAAAATATATATAAATTTGTATGAATTCGTATAAAATATGCATAGATATAAATTAAACATGAATAAAATCAGTATAAATACGTACAAAATATGTATTAATATGTATAAAACACTTTAACTCTCATTACCACCACACCTGTTATACACCTGACCTCCTGACGGCACTGTAGGAGGTAGATTGGGATGAGTGGCACGGCACCTCCTTCCTGTGGGTGACCAAATGGCTGGTGTTAGTCATGGCTGCTCTCCAGATGCTTAAGGAGTTCGCTCAGCTCTGTCAGGTTAGTGTCTCAGTTCTCTCAGGTAAAAATTGAAGTTCTCCAAACTAAAGACTTCTGCTTCTCCTAGTTCTGTTCAGTAAAGTCTCCAGTTATGAAAGTCAAACTACTCCTGCAAGTCTCCTGTAAAGTCCTGTGTGTCTGTCTCTCATGTAAAGTCAAGTTCTGTTCAGTAAAGTCCCAAGTTAAACCAGTCAAAGAACTATTTCTCTATGACGAGTCTTGTGTTGCGGAAATACGACTATAGAGTTGATTGTGTTGTTATTGATGTTGATGTTGCAGGCATGTGTGGGTTACTTCAACTCGGAGAACCTCGTCGAGTTGGTCTGCTACGTGTGCGCTGTGCTCTTCGTCATCAACTTCAACGGGTGTTCTATCAAGGAGGTCAGTCAGTCAGTCAGTCAGTCAGCCAGTTAGTTACGGTGATAGATTAGTTATGGGAGTTTTACATTATTTCAGTTGGTGTTTATTTGCCTTCTTCTTCTTCTTTTTATCTCGTTTTTAAGGAGTGGCAGTGGCAGACGGGGGCTATGGCGATCTTCCTGGCGTGGATGAACTTGCTCCTCTTCATCCGCGTCTTCCCCTTCTTCGGCATCTACGTTATCATGTTTACGGAGATCCTCAGCACCTTCAGCAGTTTCTTCCTTGTTTTCTTTTTCTTCATCATCGCCTTTGCTCTCAGCTTCTATACGGTGAGTCCAATAAGATCTAGGTGATGGCTAAAGGGGTTACTCCTTATGTATGGTGCTGTGGTGACACCGGTGTTATTGTGGTACTAGAGGTGTCATTGTGGTGCTACAGGTGTCATTATGGTGTTACAGATGTCATTATGGTGATTCAGGTGTCATTGTGGTGATTCAGGTGTCATTGTGGTGCTACAGGTGTCATTATGGTGATTCAGGCGTTGTTGTGGTGCTACAGGTATCAATTGTGGTGTTGTGGTGCCTCAGGTATCACCGTGGTGTTACAGATGTCATTGTGGTGCTACAGGTGTTGTGTGTTACAGGTGTTAGGGGAGCAGTACCCCTTCAGGACGCCCGCCCACTCCCTACTGAGGACAGCTGTTATGATGATTGGCGAGATTGACTACCAAGATGTCTTCAGCAACCCCGAGAACCCGATCGAGGTGTGTGCTCTCCTTTATCTCACCTGTTGGCTTGGAAATTACTCACCTGACTCACCTGTTGACTCAATATTTTCCCCATTACTTTTTTTCCCTAATACTCAATCAAATTTTATTAATTACTCATATGACCCATCTAGTTTCCCAGTATTTTCCCCGACTTTTTTCCATAGTACTCATCTTTTTTTTATGTAGTACTCGTGAATGTTTATATTTTGTACTCGTATTATTTTCCCCGAGCGTCAACTTTTTTCCCCTAGATTTTTCCCTTATTTATATTGTTGATTGTCTTTTGTTTCCAGTACCCGGAAGTGACGTATATCCTGGTTATGGCGTTTATGGTGTTTATGTCCATCCTCATCATGAACTTGTTGGTGGGTCTGGCTGTGCATGACATAAAGTCCGTCCAGGAACAGGCCATGTTGCAGAAGTTGGCCATGCAGACTAAGGTAAGTGGGAGGTGGCTATGTTGCAGAAGCTGGCCTTGCAGACCAAGGTTAGGGAGAGGTGGCCATGTTGCAGAAGTTGGCCATTTAGACTCAGATAAGGGGAGTTGGCCATGCAGACTAAAGGGGAACTGGCCATGCAGACTAAAGGTGAACTGGCCATGCTGACTGAAACTAAAGGGGATGTGGCCATGTAAACTAAAGTAAATGAAAAGATGACCACAGACAACTGGGTCGACTAGGGGTGCCTCGACCTAAAGTCAATCAACCAAACTATTTATCTCAGACTTGGTTGACATTTCTCCAACAGCTGGTGGTGGAGATAGAGATGGTGATCCCAGAGTATATTCGACGACGGTACGTGGTGAAGAACCTGAAGGTGGTGGAGGAGAACAAGACCAACATCCTCAGGTGGCTCTTTGCCAAGTTCAGCTTTTACCAGGAGAAGGAGGTTCGTGTGTGTGTGTGTGTGTGTGTGTTATCATTGTTGTTCCTTGAGCCACACAGGTACTTCTCCACACAGTTAACTTGTGCTGTTATTGTTAGTGACTTTTGTACTAACTGACTTCTTGGTTGACTGACTTTTGGATTGATTGACTTCTAGACTGAATGACTAAGTAACTGAGTGACTGAGTGACTGACTGAGTAACTTCTAGGATGACTGACTGACTTCTGCTGATTGACTGAGTTTTTGACTGGGTAACTGACTTTTAGACTGACTCCTGGACTTACTGACGGTTCTCCAATTCTTGCAGTTAAGTGACGTAGACAACCTGCGTCAAGAAGTCCTACAACTCAAGTCTTCAGTGGACGACCTCCTGGACATCAAAGCCTCCCTTCATGACCTGGGGGAAGTGAAGGACTCCCTACGTATCTTGTCGGATCTCAGGTCATCCAAGACTGACCTAGTTCAGCTCAAGAACCTCGTGAAAGAGATACACAAGAAGCTGGGGTCGTGAACTCTTCCTGAAGGAGTTCTTATAATATATCGAGATGGTTCATTGTCGCGGGTTAGGTTAGAGTCGAGGTATCGTTCTATATCCAGTGTTATATTAGCTATCGTATAGACCTTAATGTTATATTAGGCCACGGTATAGTCCTGTTATTGTGTAAGGTAGGGTATAGGCCTAGTGTTGTGTAAGGTAGGGTATAGGCCTATTGTTGTGTCAGGTAGGGTATAGGCCTATTGTTGTATTAGGCTATTGTATAGGTCTATTATTGTGTAAGGTAAGGTATAGGCCTATTATTGTGTAAGGTAGGATATAGGCTTATTATTGTAGTAGGCTATTGTATAGGCCTATGATCTGGTCGATTATACAGTATATATTAAGTCAATACAAGAGTATCGACCACCCTGTCGTGTGTAACAATATGGTGCGAACGCTGTAAACATATCCGTGTGGTTACCGGCGTCAGTTGGTTAATATCGCTCAGTTTCTGCTTCACGAACCCCGAAATATCAAACAGGTGAATCCGAAGCGTTGATGGACTATCGTGGACAAAAGTTCGCTCCCTGTGGTGGAACTGAGTCACAGGAATGAGTCTCCGAACTGACTGTGTGCGGGTGTGCTGTTTTGTCTCATTTGGGGTCGATACTGCTTCAGTTTTGGAGGGAGCGAACTGTTGTCAACGATAGGACATAATAAGGCATCAGTCTCTAATATTTCGGGTACACGGGTCCGAATCTCAGGGTTCGTGGAGCAGCACAAAAGGCGACGGTACTTGTGTTTGTGACTGTACAGTACATACTGTATTTACACCCTTTATATACAAGCTTTTAGGCTGATTAAGAAACAGACTCAGGCTCAGGCTGTCAGTTGACTCACCCATGTCAATATTGTTATTATTATTCACCATATCTGTATTTTTATGGCTAAATATACTGTTTTAATATCAATATTAGTTAATTATTGATTACAAATACGGCGTTGTAGAATTATACTGTATGTATTATTTCCAAAGAATTTTGCTTAAATCTGATCTAACTGCAATTACATAAACCAAAAAATGCATCGGTTAAATGCGAGGTCGGGATCCGGTCCTGGGCTCTGAATAAACTCAACTCAACGTTTTTCTGGGTCGCGCACTGCTGCTGATTGCTTACATTCTCCATAGAAAACGTATCTGCCTCAGTCGTGCATACCAGTAGCAGTGGTGAGGAGTATTGACGTTTTGTGCTAGTTAACATCACAGAAGAGGACTGTAAGGTAAGTCTAGGAATTTTCTGTTCATTCCATAAGGTTGAATCGTGACTCGTGAGTAGTAGAGAGCTGTACTGTTGTGTAGGCAAGCTTGTGAGGTTGTAAAGCTGTATTACAAAGTAGGTCTCTGGAACAGCTGAGCACCCCGGCCCGTCAGATCTGTTGCCAAAAGTAGGCCTAAATTTGCACGGAGGAGTTGATACGAGTTTCGTGTTTTAAAAGTTATACCCAGAGTCTGTTTATTGGATGTATTTATGTTTTCTGAGATTATTTTTTAAAGAATTTCATATTAATCTAGTTTATAAAAACCTGTTTGAGGAATGTGAACTTTTGTAATACCTTACAGCACTTGACTAGTTTACTGCTGGTCAATGACTGTATACCTCCACCTCAGTGCCCCCACCACTACCTCCACCACCATCCCCACCACCTCCACCACTACCTCCACCACCACCACTACCTCCACCACCATCCCCACCACCACTACCACCACTATCCCCACTACCTCCACCGCCATCCCCACCCCCACTACCTCCACCACCATCCCCACCCTCACTACTTCCACCACCTCCGTCACCAGACTTGACCATCTCCACCACCAACCACCACTGCCTCTATCATACTCCAACACCCAGTTCTCAATAACCAGTTACACCAGTAGCTTAGAACAAAGTGAATAGGTTAATAACTTAAGTGTGAAGATGAAGGACAAGATGTACCGCGATTGTGCAGTTATTTTGATACTTGTCTTGTGTTTCCCTCCTTCTCCACACTCACCGTCAACCACATTATGAAAAACAAGTTTCTTTTGCTTTATTGAAGACAGCGGTGTTATGGTTGGTTGTATTATTTAAGTTTCGGGAGTTTTATAAAATCGTACACTTGTGAATCCTAATTAATTTTATGTGAATATAATTAATGAACCAAACACGATATGGAGAAGATGAGTTGAACGTTTATTTATTACCTCGTTATGTAGTTGGCTTGTTTGGTATTGTTTTACAAGTGGACTCTCAAAAGATGTTTGCACATGAATAGTTGTTATAGGTAGATCTCTATCACTTTTCCTTATGGCATTTCTATCGTAAATTACACGTGAGCGAGATATTTAATTTTTTGGGGGTTATTTATCGTAAAAATTCCTCCGAATATTGTTACCAAGTCACCACGAGTCGTCCGCTTGTTAACAACCGACAAGCTCAGCACTCTCACGTCCACAAAAAAAAAATACACCATGGCGCTTCAATAGTGGCTTTCATTGGTACCAGATATCAAATTAAGAACTTTCTGTTTAATAAGGCAGGGGGGGTCCTGGGGCCGGTTCAGGTTAAGTGGTGTGGATGAGGCCAAGTGGTGTGGATGAGGTTAAGCGGTGTGGATGAGGCCAAGTGGTGTGGATGAGGTTAAGTGGTGGCCTTCAAACACACATCATTACTAACTACCTCACCTATCACCACCATAATACCCCCACCCCTCCCCCTTCCTTCCACCCCCTTCCCCACCCCTTCCCCTCCCCTTCTCCGTTCCTTCCATCCCCTTCCCCTCCCCCTTCTATCACTACCATAGCACCCCTGTCTCCCCGTCATAACATTACATGCAAATGCTGTCGCCTTATTGCAGAGAGCGAGCGTGTACAAGTTGATAGCAACATGTCAGACAGTGGTGTTGACAGTGTGGCTGTTAGTACCTAGGGAGGAAAGGAAAGGTGCTTATTTCCTGGGTGAAGCAGGGGCTGAAGGAGGGCTGAAGGAGGGTACCCGAGTCTCCAAAAACCCGTCAGCCACAAATTTCTTTCCTAAACTACACTTAACTATGGAGATTAATTTGTAATAAAGTTCCCGTGTGGTTTTAAGTATGGTATTTCCTCCGCCACTGCTGTGCTCTGTCGTAGCCTCAGTAAGTCAAGTGGTCTTTCGTCTGTAATTAAAGGAGGAATATTAAAAGTGAGTTTTTGAGAAGCGATTGGACGTTTTCTGCCACGCTGTTGACTCACACGCTCGATTATGCACACACACACACCCTCCCACACCATCCTCCTTCCTCCCACACCTTCCTTCCTCCCTCCCACACCATCCTTCTTCCTCCCACACCTTCCTTCCCACACCTTCCTCCCTGTTGTTAGTGTTACTGTTATTACTGTTGCCGTTCTTATAACTGTTGTAGACGCTGTGAGGTGGACCAAAAGGGACGTCTGGCCTTGTGAAAAGTGTTCATGTCAGGAGTGAACCACCATTAGTCTTTAGGCTCGTAATCCCCCTCCCCCTGGTGCCTCTCTCTCTCTCTCTCTCAGCGGTAAAGTTTAATTGCCAATACTTGTAACTTTAAAGAAAAATCTAATAACAATATTAGACTTGGGCGATACAAGCAACTAGCATTAAACCGAGGTGATCGCGCTAGTTCCCAAGACTGGGAAGTACCTCTCAAAAAACACTATGTGGCAACAGCTTCACACATTCCCAACAAACAAAATTACCTTATAAAGTTCGCGATCGATTTTCTGCATTAGTGCTGTTGTTGCCGAGGTAGGGTGATCGTCGCGCGTCGATTATTTTTTTTTTATTGTAAAGGAATTTGTAGTAAACTTAATGTACGGAGGATAAGTTCTTTTTAGATAATTGTTCTTTGTATGTTAAAACATCAATTTAATGGTACCTAAACTAGCCTATGTCCATTACAGACCTCAAGACACCTCCTCTGATACTGTCACCACACGAGAATAATTTCACCTGTACTTTATACCTAATAAGTCAGGTAAAGTAAATATTAAGTAAACACCTATTACTACTTAAGTACAAGAATCTGGTCGCAGTATTGTCACATCGTCGGGATTACTACACTTATACTTTACACTTAAATCTATTCTTGTGCCGACAGATTAAGTGGAAATCTCTGACGTGGTCGTAGTACATGTTGAAGTGGTTAGACTGAGTTGTTTGTTTACATAAGTCAGCTGATTGGTCTCGGAGAGTGATGGAGAGGAGGAGGAGGGGGGAGAGTTGGAGAGAGGGACGATGAGAGGGTGATTTCAGGATATGAGAGAAGGATAGGAAGATGAGAGGGCATTTTAAAGAGATGAGAGCGATAGGGAGACTGAAAGAGACAATTGAGAAGGAGAGAGAAAAGGGAGTATGATTAAGCTATACAAGGGAAGGACAACGAGAGATAGAGGGATAACACCGAAGGAGAGGGAGAGAAAAGGAGGAAGATCAAAGAGAGAGGGAGAGAGGTCCAAGGTCCCCAGCTGCCCCAGGCGTCACTGAACCTCAGCTTAGGTGTTCACAGGTAAAGGTCACAACTAGACGTGTTTTACCTGAGCTATTTTCGGCTCTATCTTTAACACCTGATGGCTGTCGGCCCCACCATTATAGTCGCAACATTACTTATACTTATTCCTTCACTTATACCTTTACTTATACCTTTACTTATGCTCCTACTTATGCTCCTACTTATACTCTTACTTATACTTATACTCTTGTTATACAATTCCTTTGTAGTGTCTATGGCTTCGTTTTGTCATTAAGTACGATTATGTTATCAGATTTTTTGTAAGTAAATAAATATACTGTGTTAGCCTATGTATGTATGTATGTATGTATGTATGTATGTGTGTGTATGTATGTATGTATGTATGTATGTATGTATGTATGTATGTATGTATGTATGTATGTATGTATGTATGTATGTATGTATGTATGTGTGTGTATGTATGTATGTATGTATGTATGTATGTATGTATGTATGTATGTCATCCCGCCCACTACCACTAACCTCACCCCTCCCCCCTCCCTGCTTCCTGTTATTCAGTTCCACCGCCCTTGTGTGGATGAGGAGTAGCAGGAGAGAGGAGGAATGGAAGGAGAAAGGGGGCGTAAAGGGGTAGGAGAAGGAAGAGGAGGTGAGAAAGAAGAGGAGTAGGAGAAGAGGAGGTAATTTGTATGTGGGAATCACCGAGGGAAAGTTTGAGGAGTCGAACATATAATGAACCATGTTTCGAATCCTGACTCGACTCATAGGGAACCTTTGCTTATTTAACCTTTTTATTTTCTCTTTTGAGTGAAAATTAGTCCAAATATTCAGTCTTTCTGTGTATTATTGTAAAAGAATGTCAAGGAAAGTGGAGAAATAAGAATAATGACGAAATAAGTAGGTAAGTATAGAATGATAACATGTAACTTGGTTGAAAATAATACTTGTACGTTTCACATCACTCAATTTCTTTACGTTTCGTGTTGTGTGTAGCTAAGGGTGTGGTCGTGACCTTTGGTGAGGGAAGTAGGAGGGAGAAAGTTGACCTTATTTTAGAATACTATGGTGTTTTTTTTTTTAGGTTGAAATTGATAGGCATAGTCACATGACCTTTACTACAGAGTGGTGACCTAAATAGGTAGGTCTTGGTGGAATATAATCGTTTTCATTGGTCGATTGGGAAGTGGGTTTTCATTGGGTGATTGGAAAATTAGTTTTCATTGGTCGATTGGGACGTGGGTTTTCAATGTTCGATTGGGATGTTAGTTTTCATTGGTCGATTAAGATGTGAGTTTTCATTGGTCTATTGGGATGAGGAAGACGAGGAGAGGAAAGAAGGAGAGGAGATGGAGGAGGAGTGGGAAAATGAGGATGAGGGGGAAAAAGAAGGGGGAGGAGGAAGACGCGGCGCTGAGCAAAACCCCTCCGAGGACAATGTCGTTCGTGAGGG